CCCGTGAGGCGGCGGCTCCGCGTTCTCGGTCTTCTGGCGCTTGGGGGCGCGGCCGCCCTCGCCGCCCCCGCCGTAGTAACGGCCCGAGCCGCCCCCGCCGCCGCCGCCGGCCGCCATCTTCCCCATGTCCCCCCCGCGGCCGCTGCCCTCGGCGCTCTGCGGGCCCCGCCACCGCCGCCGCGACATGGCGCCTCACTCCGCCGCGCCGCCCCCGACACGCCCCTATTGGGCCGCCCCCCCGCCACTCACGCGTCGCGCAGCGCTCATTGGCTCTGAGCGCTGCCCCTCCGGCGGGAGCACCGCCCTCCGTCGCCATTGGGCCTGCCGCCGCGCGGACCCCGAGCCCATTCGCTCGCCCTCCTGCCCGTCAATGGCGTCACCACTTCTCATTGGCAGGGGGACGAGGCTTTTAGCCCGCCCTCCGAGCTGGTTGGCTAGAGTGGTTGTCCATCCAGGTGCTGCCCCGCCTATCTTCATGGCCCCGCAGCAAGGCTCCGCCTTCTTCTACCTGGGGCTCCCATAAGGACTTTCGGCAGGGTCGTGCAAAGCTATTGGCCACTGGGAACGCCAATCAACGCGTACATTTAGCTTTGATTGGTTATTCCTCCCGCCTGTCCTCCAGGTGCTTCCCGCCGACAGCCCCTAGCGCCCACCCCCCAGAAACCCCATTGGCCAGCCTTCCCGCCAATCCACACGTGGGCTCGGCCTCTGTGCGCTCTCATTGGCCGCTGCCCTCAGCGCTCATTTCTGATTGGCTCACCCCTGAGAGCGGGCGCCAGGCACTCACGCGTGCGATGAGTTTGGGCGGCCTCAGCGCACGTTTAAAGCGGGGGGATCCCTTGAGGACCCTTCTCCCGGGGCTCCCTCTCCCATGGAGGCCTCCCTCTTGCACGAGGCTCCTTGCACGAGCACATCTTGCACGAGGCTCCTTGCACGAGGCTCCTTGCACCAGTGTCATTCCACGAGCACCTCTTGCACGAGGCTCCTCACACAAGTACGTCTTGCACGAGGATCTCTGCACGCACACATCTTGCACGAGGCTCCTTGCAGGAACGTCCTTGCACAAGCACCTCTTGCACGAGGCTCCTTGCACGAGCACCTCTTGCACGAGGATCTCTGCATGCACGCGTCTTGCACAAGGCTCCTTGCACGAGGCTCCTTGCACGAGGCTCCTTGCACGAGGCTCCTTGCACAAGCACCTCTTGCATGAAGGTCCTTGCACCAACATCCTTGCACAAGGCCCTCTACATGAGCACCTTTTGCATGCGGCTCCTTGCACGAGCACCTCTTGCACGAGGATCCTTGCACAAGTACGTCTTGCACGAGGCTCCTCGCAGGAGCATCCTTGCCCTAGACACCCTTGCACGGGCGGCTCCCCTTTGCGCACGGGGGTCCCTTTTGTGCACAGGGGGCCGTGAGCTCCGAGCGTGCCAAGTGGGTGGGCACCCGCTCCCGTTCCTGCTCCTGGTGCCATCCGCAGCCCC